TCTCTTTCAGGTAGAAATAGGAGAGAATGAAGAGCTGCAGTGTGTGAGCACTGCCCCTGGCTTCCTTCAGGGTTTAAGTCAGACCCAAATGAAATGAAACATTTCTTCTAGCAGGCCCATTCTAGGACATGCCATGTTTATTCCTTTCAGAGCTTATCCTTTCAATATATTTTTGGCAATGGAGATTTTTAGCAGGCAAGTTTTTTCATTATATCCAAAGCTCAGTTTGTTAAAATAATTCATGTTCTCTCAGTTGCAGAGACCTTCTATATTCTTAAGTGGCAGTGGTGGGAAAAATATGCTTAAGAAGGCTCTGGAGGGTGTCTCAAGGGAGGTGAACTGTAGTAGTGGCACAATGCAACACTTGTTCAGTGATTCTGCAATACCAAGGCATTCCATTCTTTAAAGCGAAGCACAAATTCCCTACGTGATGGTGATTGGGGTGAAACTTGTGATTGTTCTTGTGGCATACTAAGCAAGTGAGGTGAATGACTGCTTCTAAGTGTGAGCTATGATATTAATTCCTGTCTCCTTGGAAGCTGGTCAGGAAAGTTGCCATCTATTTTTATTTACTCATGGCGCACCTTTCACATTTGCACATCTTGCAATTATTGGTGTCCTGCCTATTATTTGTTGAAAAACTAATAGAAAAATTGAAGGGTTGCTGAAGGACAGAATAACAAGTTTAAAAATGTAAAATCTGAATGACTTGTAGTACTTGATAAGACCCCTTAAAAAACGTAATTTAAAACATTCTACAAGTTAGCCCACTAAGAAGCAGCCTCTTCATTAGTAGCACCTGTTCTTAAACAAAAGTTGAGCAGTAGCAGCAAAACTATTCAAAATAGATAGTCATTCCATTCTAATGGAATGTCACCCACACATTTTTTGTTGCAGTAGACATCTTAAAGAACTACACAAAACCTTTGCAATCTTTGAATGTGACAGATCCACTATAACAAAGCTGTAAATATTTCCTACGCTAAATGAATGCAGCCAGCATCATCATAGTATTAGCAATATTACTTGTAAAGTAACTGCACATCAATATGTCATGTTTGCAGAATCTAATAATTATGCAATTTTTTAAAACATGTAAAGTTATCATCAGCACCATCCTGTATTAAAGATTTGGTGCAAATTCTGCCAAGATGAATATATACCACTGATACAACCTTTGCTGTGAAAAAGTCAGTAAATTTTGGACACAAATATAAAATAAAAGGTTGGCACATTCAGGAAATACAGTGTCTGTGTTCAAGACCATTCTTTTAATTGACATCATCACCCTCAGATATATGTTTTGAATCTGAAGAAACAAGTTGCATGAAAATGCTTCACATTAGTTCTGGCATTGTGCTTTTCCCCCCACCACATGCTGTTCACAGGCTCATGCACATTGCACATCAGCAATGCAGGGCTGCTGGTCAATAATTTGGCACATAAAGGTAAATATCAGCTCAAAACAAAGGGAGCAGAACCTGTGTCAAGATGTGTTTACTTCGTGGTGGTATGGACCAGTTGATATGTCTCCTCTCAATCCTTGTATGCTCGTGTGGGGGATGTGCCTTTATAGAAGATGTTTCTGGTGTTCTCTGGACTGCTCCCTCTCTCAGGGATTAAAATGATGTTACCTTTTCTTCGAAGTGTTGAGTCCCGGCTAGAAGAAATGGACAGAGTCTCTGAGCCAATCTCACTTCCTTCCACTGGTGTGACTCTTATCGTAGTGATTCCATGATGATGATGCTCTGTGTTATCTATGTTGCTTCTTTTCCTGTCACCTGACCCATAACTGTCTTTTAAGGAGTCACAGCTCTCAGAGTCTCTGTTAAGATCATTTAGCTCATATGTTTGACGAAGAGTGACTTTTTCAGGACCTTTCCATTTCCATGACCCACTTCCTTCACCTTCTGATGGCATCTGAATTACAGGTCTGTTATTTTCTGGATGGGCCTCAACTCTAACAATGCTGCTTGGCTCATGGTCTGTCAAGGTTTTATATCTGATGGCTCCTGTACAGGTCACTGTGCTTCCCTCTGAACTCTTTGGACTGCCCTGAAGCACCCCTTGCTGCTTAGACATGGCTATTACTTGCATGATTCTTGGCTGGCTATTACTCCTGCATGCAACACTCTTCTCAGCAGCTTTCAGCCATTTAGCTCTAGCTGAACTAGTTTTAGGTGATGTGTTCACGTTCTCCTGAGTCTCTTCAGGAATGTGTACTAGCTGAGATGAGCCAGGACGGGACTGAATAGAGACCCTTGGCCCACCAGTAAGACCTGAGTTGTTACAACCTGGTACACTGCCAGGTTGGATTTTCAGGTATTGGGTAGTTGGGCCATGATGATCACCATTTACACCCACTCTGGAGGGTTCTGAGCTTGACCTCATTTCGATAGCCCTTGGTGGTGACTGGCCAGATTCAGTCTCTATTACCTGCAGTGACAACTTTCGATTTTCATTCTTGTTCTTCCACTGGGACAGCAGCTGTTTGGAACGGGCAGAATCCATTGATGCATGTATTGTTGCATTTCGTCTTGCTGGATCTTCCAAGGATGGTGTGTTGACTCTTGGCAAAGTGTTGCTGAAAGTAACCATGTTCTCCTTTCCCATTGGGCTTCGTGGTGTTATTATTTCTACATCAGCATTTGCTCTCTTGAGATTGGTCAGAGAGCCTGAATCTCTGTGGTTTCTATTCAGGATACCTTCTGTACGGTGAGAGACAATGCCATCGCTGCTGCCGCCGTTTTTACCTGGCAGGATTCTGCTGGCATCTTGACTGAGGTCTGTCAATGACCTTAGAGGTTCTCTGTGAAAATTTTGGTGAAACGCATTCTCGTCACTTGGCAAGAAGTTCCCCACAGCATACAGGCCCTGATATTTGGACAGAAGCATCAACACTCGGTTAAGAAAGTTGTAAAGTACACGTTTTAAGGTACTTTCATTGCATTATTTTGCTTTTAAATAGAATTCAGTGACGTAATTACTTCAGCTAAACTGATGGATGTGCTTAATTTCCTTTCCTCACTAGTATAGCCTCAGTCCCAGTTCTGTCCTAAGTCTGGTACCTCTACGTATGTATAAAGTAGTCTCACTAGGGTAACTAAAGCATAATATTCATGGCAATAAGCAGTCATGAGCTTTCTTTTTACCAAGGAACAGATACAGCTACAGAAATAATGTCTTAGATAAATAGCAAAATAGATGTTTGTAGTCTCTTAGGCAAAACTATTTTACAACTATACTACTGTCTACTCTGATTTACCAAACCTTGTTACAGCTAGAGTTGTTCTCAGATGTTAGCAGATTCTGCCCTTTCTGCTGCACAATAACCATTTAATACAATATCTACATCATAGAAAAATTTATCAACTTTAAATCAATTGCTTTCCAAACTGTGCAGAACTTTAATAAGATTTAGTTATAAAACATTTTCCTAATAAGTAGACTCACTGTAAAATGCTGTCATTTAAAAAAGACTCCACTGAGGGCATTCTGTGAGAGGGTCAAATATCTGACTTGATCACTTGAGTTACTTGTTCTTTACACTCCTTTCAGAATTATTTGTAGTTTCACACCCTTCCCCATCCTCCTGCTGGTGCATAGTTTTGAGGGCAGGTTTACTGAGCACTGGCTATCCAGGACACCGTACTCTCTGCTGCATGATGTCACACAGCAATATGAAGACCTAACAAAGCATACTTTTTTGGGTATTTCAGACATGGGGACAACACCTCCATTTAGGTAAATCTACAACTGGGAATAATTTGAAATAATATTCTCAACAGAGTGCCTTTCTGCTCACAGTGCAATCACAGAAGCTAACTTTAGTAGCTCATGGGGTTTCTGTTATTACCCTGTCTGCTGTTTCTTCTGCCACTGTGAAAGCCATTTTCCCCTGGTTGCCTCTGCAGACCATCTGCAGATACCTTAGGTTATGTTATCACAGAAAAATGGGGTCAGGAAATTAACTAATTTTAGTATTCTACTAAAATTCATCATTGACTTCTTGGGGGTAAAATCATGCCACTGGCTGTTAAGACTCTTCTGTTCACCTGCCCACACTCAAGCAGAAGCTTGATTGTCAGCAGAAGCTCTGATTGCTCCCAGCCACCTGTGCTGCTCTCTGAACAGCCAGGGCAGAGAATTCCTGCTGGAGACATACTGAGAGCAGTGAGCAAAAGCAAGTGCTTGATGAGCTTCCTCCTGACAGGTATAATCAGGCTTGACCTACATGCTTCCTTTACAGGACCCTTCCAAGGTACTCCATCTCTTCTGACACAGTAGAAAGCAAAAGCATAGGAATAACCTGATTTGACCACCCTTTTTCCCCTTCATGGCTTCCCTAAGGACTTCAAAGAAGAAGGTTCAGCAATTCACTCAGCTGAGTTGCTCATACTAATTCAATAACTTTTTGAGATCATGAAGTGAACACTGTCAGTATCAACTCAGGTCAGCAACAAATACCAATTAATGAAATATTTTTCTTGTGCTATGATTTTAAGTGTGGATTAGAAGAGATGAGTACTTTTAAGTGTTTAATAAATCACATAAAGCTAGAATTGTTTCTGTATACAATGCCAGATGATTATATTCTACTTTATGCACTGTTATGGAACTTCACATTGAAGTACTTGTTTGCTTTTTTGTCTTTGCTTTTAAAGTCATTATCCCTAATTCATCATCTTCAACACATATTGACTTTATTTATACCTATGACATGTGAGCTTGATGAAAAATTTTCATAAAAATAACCAGTACTCTTATTCCAGCCTTATAAGTTTAATTTGTTAAAACTTAACCATGACTATTATATTTACCAAATAGAGAGCAATTCCTCCTCCTATGAGAAAGCCACAGTAAACATCAACTGGGTGATTCTTATACTGGGTGATACGAGTCAGACCGCATATAATTCCACAGATGATAAAGGCAAAGACCAAGAGTGGTTTAAGAAGTTTTGAGGAGTCTGTTAATGTAGAATTGAAGTACATCTTGAAAAAGAAAGAAATAAAGAAGCAATTGAAGAAACTTAAATATACCTAAGAGGATTTTAATTTCTCACATTCAGTGTTTCTTTTATATATAGACCACTAGTACACAGTAATATTACAAGTAATCTATTTAATTTTACTTTACAGCCCTATTAAAATTTGCTCACTTACTGCAGAAAGATCTGAAATCACAAGGAATGGATTTCCAAAAACATAGGCAGTGTTGCTTATTGACATCAATTAGGATAAGTATTTTATGCCTCAATACTGTTCCAAATTAGCACCTAAATGTTCTATAAATGTGACTAAGGAGCCACCGCTTGTGAAATGCAGCAGCCAGATGTCATGCCAGATGAAGGCAATAACCTCTTCCAACAAAAGCTACCACCAGATGCTTTAGAGAGCCATTTCTCAACTGAGGGCCATAATATCAGGGAGGTCACAAAAATTAAGTGGAGGTGGTTCATTAGTGTTATTCCAAATTCTGGCCTTTCTCTGGGCAGAATAAATACTGACAAGCTCTCAGTACATGCACAATACAATTATCTAATGCTATTAACTGGTTGTTACTGTTGTTCTCCTCTGATTTTTACAGCACGAGTGATGGAATTACTTTTTAAACTTCAAGTAAGTTGTCTCTAGTACAAACATTGCAGGTCATACTGAAGAAATATTACTGCTTGGAAATGCAAAATCAGCTGTGATTGCTGCAACATGTCCCACAATTCTCTGCTAGTGACTGATGGGTTTTATTCACTTGCTTTGCAGTAACACCTTGAAGGCCTCTGGGAGTGATTGTGCCATTTCATCCATGCTGCAAATCTCTGGAGGTGAAACCAAACTACATCACGTCAATGCATGGCCCTTAATGACTCAAGTTTAAAAGCAGCAAATCAAGTGAAGACAGCAACAAAGAAAAGGCAGCATACATAACAGTTAATTTGACTGGTAAGTTAAAATATCACTCTGTAAGACAGATAAACATTTTATATGAGGATAATATGTGGCATCAAATATACTTTAACATAATACTTTTTTTTGCTTCTTAACAAAGGATATGAAGCAGTTGAATATTTTCCTTATTCTTTAACAGCTGAAATAAAACCAGCTTTATTAGTAATTTTATTTTGCTTTCAAATTGGTAGGATAAAAACATCCATCCATCCATCCATCCATCCATCCATCCATCCATCCATCCATCCATCCATCCATCCATCCATCCATCCATCCATGATATCCAGGCAACACATAATTTTACAATATACAGCAAATTACTTTTTGACTTTTGTCTTGTATAAATGAAACTGAACAGAGTTGGTTACTCACCGAAATGTACACTGCTGCAAAGGCTGCCAGGGTGGCATGCTGAGAGGGGAATGACTTTCTGCCAAGGAAGGACACTCAAATTATACTTCTCAGTTCAAATGCACAGTGTTAGTGCTCATTGAAAAAAACACTGGGTGGTACAGCCATCTTATACTTCCTAAGCAACATGTGATCTATCAGTAACATTTGTCATCAGGTGACATTTTTCTCAGAGAGAGGCAAACTACATCTTTATTTGCTATGTCTATAGGTTTATTTTTTTTAAAAAAATCAGCACTTTACATCCTGACAGAAGCTAATGGAGCACAAGAAGATGGGGAAGGTATTTTAAGAATTACTGGGCCCCTTCTTGATGGCCAGAGAAGGACAATAAATAAAAACATGTCCAAACTCTGAGACAGTAGGCAATATCAGGTCTGCTCTTGAAATTGCTGAGGACCTTCTACTCCCTCTGAAAACCTGGAGACTTGAATGATGCGGACTGGGACTTGAGTTACAAACTTTGAATATGAAATTTAAAAGTGACAGCTCAGTTTCTACTTCTCTGACAAGAAAAGGAAGTTTTGTGCAAGCAGGTGCTACATAGAGCCATCACATGAGGCTCTTTAACATTTTAGTATTATTATTCTAGACCCATTTCAATTCTCTAAAAACAAGTAAAGAAAAGTGATGTGAATGCAAAAGAGGTTTTTACATAGTAGACAGAAAAAAAGCTGGGTTTGAATTCAGTAGTACCTGTTCCACAGTGGACATCTAGATCACAGAAACCCTAAAAAAGTCTGTGACCTCTGAGCTCTAGGAATGAGACAGGTACAGTGAGGATTTCTCTCTTTACAATGGTATAGATATGTAATGTAACATACTGCATGTCTTAGTGAAGAAGAGTATGTCTACCTTGCAGTCACAACAGCAAGTTTCACCTGAGAAAGCTCAGCTTGGGATAAATACTTAAACTATAATTCGGCTTATAGATGGGTCTTGTCACTCTGAGCTCCACATATAGCCAATTTCCTAGTAACACCTGAGTGAGCTAGTTTAAAATAGCAGAGATTGAAACACGGTCCTTTAACTTTAGACAGACATTTGTTCTGAAAAGCAGAAGAGTCTAAATTTCTTTCCTATGAATTTTGCCTTGTCTGTTCTACATAATTAATTGGCAGTTAAAAATGTGCATGTAGTTCAGTGTGAATGCCATGCTGGTGACCTGAATTTGAGCCTATGGTGCCAGCAGGTTCATGACTCTGGCCAAGATGAAATCTACATGGTTCCTTTTGCATTTCTAAAGACAGTTCTAAATCCTTCTTTATCTTATTTTATTTTTGACCTCTCTGAACAAATCTTTCACAAATAGTATTCCTGTGGAACAAGCTCAGGGTTGAGGACAAGGAATAAAGACATGAAAAAAAAAGGTAAATATTTATAATAGCTAATCAGCTCCATTACCTTGTGCAGGTTTTAATGAAGCATAAATCTGCTTAGAGTCTCTGTGGATCTGATGTGTATACTTGAGTCTATGAACTTTTCTACCACTTAACCTTAATTTGATGGCATTTTTGTAGTATATAAGGTGTGCCACAATGGCACAGTCAATTTTCTCTTTATTATCTTTTCTATTCACATGATTTTCAGGGAAAACACAGACTAAATGCACTCTCTGTACTCTCTAATGGTGTCACTGCTTTTGTTCCTCTGTTATCTTTTAATCTAAAATGAAAATAACTCCAGCTAAAAATATGTAGCCTTTTTGTATGGCTCTTTATTGAAAAGGTGAACAAAGGTCTCAAAGAAAAAATGTCCTGAACTCCGATGACAGTGTATCACTCTAAATGCTCATGCATGAGGATGTGTAGAGAGGGAACAACAATGAGAGAGTCCCACTGAGAGAGAGAGTCATACAGAGTCAGAACATCAGAGAGGACAGAGGACAGAGACCTCACTGGAGAGCTGAACAAAAGTGGCTGAAAAGGCTCTTTCAAGAAAGTAGAGGAAAAGATGGACAATAGGAACCACTGGATATTTGGGGATGTTGCAGAAAAATGATTTAATACAATCAGCTGGATAATTATGTGCTCCTCTCTATACTTTTCATACAGAAGTCCATAGGCAAATTTCCGGACCCAAAGTTTCTGGGAAGTACCCGGAATGCCATTAACAAACACAGAAAAAGTTCCTTCCAAACTGAAATTATTGAAGTCAAATTAAGCTCCTGTACTGTAGAAGTTATACCATAGTTTCTGTATAGGTGACTGAAGAAAGTAACAAATGCTACTGAATAACCAGTAGCAAGTCCTGCTTTGCTGTGGTAAAGTTGAGACTGGCATAAGGAAATAACAACATAATAAAGGAAAAATGCAATAAAATTGAATTAAAGAGAAATTGTGGGTGGTGCCAGAATATTATAGATTGCCAAATGCATCCTCTATGATGAGAATAACTTTGAGATATCAATATATGGCTGATTTTTCTAGAGAAACAGAAACACTCCAAACCTGATTGCTTAGTCTTAATATGTTACAACTAATTTCACTGGTCTTTTAGAAGTGATGGTATTTAAAATTAAAATTAGGAGTGATTGGTGGTTTTGGAATGGCTACAGGCAGTCAGTTCAAAGCAGTAGACATCATATTTGAGATAATGAAATGAATGAGATGTAATTGTGAAAATGCTTCTGCCTGCTTCTATGTAATCGTGTCCTGATTTCCTGGGACACCATGCAGCTGCAAGACACTGCTTGCAAGCATCAGGCTTCACTGACAATATCCCAGTAACAGCAAATGGTTATGGGGAAAGAGATAAAAAACCTGTCAGAAGTACCATGCAAGAAAAGACAGGTTTGGGAACACAAAGCTTTATACTGTTGTAGTATTTCCTCTAAAAATAGATTCTTTTCAATGTTGCTAATATAAAAAAATTAATCACAGAAACAGAAAACAAACTTGTCCAACAACTCCGAAACACCTGAACTGTAATGTATGTTATACAGAGGTCTCAGACCAAGCACTTAGGAGACTTCCTCCCCTGCCTGTTACAGGGAACTTACCCACATATCACTTCAAAAAGCAGTAGAAGCTATACATAGTGACAACTGTATAGGAAATTGCCTCCTTTGAAGGGGAAGAACAGCTGCCCTGACTGTGCTTTGGAACCTGACAAAGTTTTCCAAAGCTCACTGCTAGACTAATATCTTAATGGAGAAAATTGAACATCACTAAAAAGATATTTATGCATTCACCTTTAACTCAGACTTTAACTATGAAAAAAAATATTGAAATTGGAAAAGAAAATAAAAAAAGAAAATAAATGCTTAAAATTTACACAATGAAGAACAGAACCAACCTTCCAGCGTTGATGATATTGAGATCAGCTCCTGAGCAAATATCTTCCACAACATATGAATTCTCTGAGCAAGATACATTTAAAGATGTATAGTTAGGCTTGCAAACAGTCAGGAAATATGGTGCCTGATATCCTGTTGATAGCTGTATAATATCAGTAACAAGAGCAGTTGCACAAAGACCGAACACATGAACACCTAGGAAAGAAATCAACAGAGCTTGTTAATTTTATTATATGCAATAATTAGGTTGATTACTCATGCAAGCTAAGTTCAACAGAGCTCTGATGGCTTTTGTTATTGGACTTGAAAGAATTTAAATGCAGAATAAGAGAATTTAAATGCAGAACAAAAGCTTATTGCAAAGTTGAATTCTTTAATATAGAAATTTTGGTAGTTTATGCTTGTTTTCTTCCTGTTGATACTTAAAATTTTGTTTTAATGGCTTGATGTCCTCCAAAACTGGAGCTGCTTCAGCATGGAAAGAAGTTTTCTGAATTGATTAAAGAGTAGCCAGCTTTGAGGAGAGCATATGTGCTTATCCAGTCCTTGGAGTTTCCTACTGGAAGACAGACTTTTAGTAGTATGGACAACTGCCCATTAGATCATTGCTCTGAAGACCTGTTCTCTTTTGCCACCACAGAATCAGCAGCTGGTGATAACTTTGGCTACCTTCACACCTCTGTTGTTTCTTGAGTATTGTGTCCTTGTCACTAATCCAAATATTTAAGTCTATTTCATAAGGGATCAATGCTTCAGACTGATTAATAATGCCAAATTCACAAGGCAATTGAAGTAATGCCATTGCTTTACTGGACATTTTCAACTGCTCTTCTCCTAAAGATTTACTTATAATTCCCTACTTTTATTCATAGAGATAAATTTATTTTTCATCTCTAAAATTGAAAGAATGTTAAAGCCATTAAAATATGAAAATACTTCAAATTCAGAGTGGGAATTAGGGATGAAATTCATGTGTCCTTGAGCTTGTTTTTTTTGGTGATGGAATACCAAACAGGAGAAGAAGTGAAGGTGGAGGTATGTTTACAGTCCTCTTGTTCATGCTGTAATCTACAAACCCTCTGCTTACTTCCTCCTTGCTGCTCTTAGGAACCTTTACTGGTCACAGATTGCATAACCTCGCTTGTCACTACCTCCCTGTTTGCCAGACTACCAAAACCCAGGGAATGGTTGTCCTACCAGGTTTTCAATCTGCTGCCTTGCTGGTTGTCTTTGCCTAGGCTGCCTTGTCTAATGAAAAATTTCTGAAAAGAAGAAACCTTTTCTT